ATTCGGGCGCGATCTAGGGCTCGCTGGCGACGACGCCAAGGCGCTAGCGATTTTCTCCCAGAGCCCCCACATGCAGGACAGCATCGCCACGGCGCCGCGCCGGTGGCCTCCATGGCCAGTGACGAGAGTCAGGGTGTGGAAGCGCCGAGAGGCCTGGTGGGCCGAGCAGCCGCGGCATATTTGCGAAGTCGCCCGTGAAGTTCGAGAGGGGCCGGCCCGCGCGGTCCAGCGCCCGCGCGCGCGCCCTGCGTTCCATTGCTGCATCGAGCGCGGCCGCGACGTCTGCCTCTCCAAGTTCAAGTCCTTCCCGCGCAGGCGCGGGCCTCCAGGGGCGACCTGGCAGATGGAAGTGGCGCGCAAGATCTGGCGCGCAGCTGCGGCCTAGTTCGCGGTCGAGTCCGCCGACGGGGCGAAGGGGGACTGGGTCAAGCTGTCCAAGTGCGAGGGGCGCGACTCGAGCTACTGCGAGCGGTGCGGTCGCAAGCATTTCCTCGTGGTAGAAGGGGGTCGTCTACTTTCGGCGTCGTCGGGCGCCTGGCGAGTCCGCTCCCGGGCGAGGGGCGCGGAGGTCCGGCGGCGGCCGTAGAGGCGCGGTCCAGGAGCCAACTCAGAAGAAACAGTGGGCCGCGACAGCGGCCGGCAGCATCGGCGGGACTCGACGGCCAGACGGCCCACCAATCAAGAAAGTACGACGTTCCGATTCAATGGTTTGTGCGCAGGCCAGAGTTCAAGGACTGCGCGTGCAGTTGTTTCACAGGCGCCACAATCCTATTCGTGAAGATTCCGCATCTCCTGTGTCCTTGTTCGGAGCGCCCAGAAGCTATGGGAGTGCGGGGGGGGGGGGGGGGGGGGGGGGCGGTGCAAGGTGAGGGCCCACTTCTGGCAGGCGTTGGCGACGCCTGCCTGGGCCGCGCCCCTCGCCCCCTGAGGGCGAGCTCCGATGAGCATGCCCCGCGACGCGTTACTTCTTCGAGTTCGGTTTTGGGCACTACTTTTGCGCGCCCAGCTGGCTCGTCTCGAGGCTCGCCTGATGCGCCGAGCACCCGTGCGAGGAGGCGCAAACGACCGCGCGTGGATGGGCGGGGGGGTCTTCGCCATCTGCGACTGCGCCTACCTCGAGTCCAGCTTTTCAAGCGGATAGGTATTCTCATGGAGACGCGGCGCCGCCGATGCCGGGCCATCCAGCCAACCTGAGGGCTTGCGCGGCGAACGTGGCCAGCCTGACACAGGCTCGATGGGCGACCCTTTTGGCCCCCCCCCATGTCGCGGAGGCGGGAGTGGTTTGCATGCGTTAGTCGCGGAATCATGAGTTGAGGCCGCGACGATCATGCAACGGGCATTTCGCGGGGGGTGGAGCGCAGCATGCTCCTCTCCACCGCCTCGGGTCGCGGCCAGAGGCAATGGGCGCGGTGCTATTCCGCGAGGCGGAAGCGCTATCTCATGGGAGCGATCTCTCGGCAAAGTTTCGGTCTTGCGCACGCGGGGGCTGGGTCGCGGGATGATTGGCATCAGAACCTCTTCGGCGTGCATCCCCTCGGTCTACGGCCCTGCGGACGCGAGCGGGTCCTGGGCCCGGGTGGCTTTCGGCGTCTTTCGGGACATGGGCCGCGCCGGCCACCGCGTCTACGTCGCGGGCGACCTTGATTGCGGCCCGCGTACCTAGGCCTCACCTCGCGCCAGGTCCGCAACGGCGCTCGCCGCGGGGCAGACCGAGCCACTGCCGCGGCAGGTGCCGGGCCAACGCGAGCCCGGCACTGGGGATCAGGGGGGCGCTGGCGCACGTCTCCACCAAGCTCCTCCCTGGATCGCCTCGCCGCGGGCTGATCTTCCACGGGGTCGGCGCCCCCTGCGCCGAGCAGCAGGCCGAGCGCTTCCACCGCGCGGCGCCCCACGTGCAGCAGAGGAACAGCAGCGAAGGGGACGCGCCGCTTATGCAGGTGTTCGTCGGCCAGGATTGCGGCCCACCGGTGCTCCAGGACGACGACGAGGACGTGGGCGACGACCCGATGGGCCGCCGGCGCTACTGGCGCGCCCGAACCGAGAGGGCCATGGTGGATGCGATTGACCGTGGTCGTGCATCGATAGAACACGAGCCAGAGCGCCGCGAGGGATCATCACCAATGACGCGACCTACGGCTCACTCTCGCCATCGCAAAAGATCGGCTCATCGGTTTGCGCGGGCTGCCCGGACTACATCGTCGGCTTCCAGGCGCTCCACGTCAAGGAGGTTACTCCGCCAACCAGGCGGCGGCACCGCGCTTCAAGCAGCTGGACCGGGCGGGCCTGGATGGCACTTTGACGCGCCATCACCAAAGAACAAGCGCGCCTGCAAAATCGGGCCAGTTTGCGCTGGCGCCAGCGCTTCTCAGCTGGGTATTCGGAGGCGCGGTCAGCAGCCGCGCCTTTTTTAAGGAGCTCTTCGCCAGCAGCGGCCACTCTGGTGGAGGATATGAAGGACCAGCGGAGCGCCGTCTGGCGCCCGTAGAGCTACGACCCCGACGCCCACCTACATAACTGGAGACAGCACGCGGCAGGTGCGGGTTTTTCCCAGCCGAGCTGCCCGTCGGATTGGGGGCCCGAGATGTTGGACCTGGAGGCGGCGAAGCGTAATGCTGGAGGATGCCCGGGCCTGGGCCGGAGCTGTAGAAAGCTTCGCACTTTGGCCAGATTCTTCCCCGCTATCATTCGGGAGTTGCTCAACCTGTGGCTCGATGCTTCTCGACGCGCCTTTCTCTTGGTGGGCGCCTACCGCAAGACCTCATGGACCGTGTCTCTGTCCGGCGCATCACCGGCGTTCCCGTGGGGGGGAATGACGCCGGGCCTATCGCTCGAGGCGGCGTCGGTGCTACTCCGGGTCTGGTTGAGGGAGCTTTCGGCGTCGGCCTTGGTGCCTCCAGACAATCAGTGGGCGAACCGTTTGGGTACCTCGCTGTTTCGCGCAATTTCGACATGGCCGAGAGACTGTTCGGACTCGACGGACGAGGCCGGGATGGGCCTGCCACGAGCCGACAACCATGTTGGACGTGCCATCGCGCTCGAGGGCCTTGACCGAGTGGGCTTTCCAGACATCGTCGAGTTCGTTTGCGCAGCAGCATGGGCGGGCCGAGCTCCTGCTCTGCGCACGGCGCCTTGGCGCCGCCAATATATTCCGCGCGCGGGATTCCACGCGGGGGGGGGCCGGGGGGGCCTGGCCCCTTGCTCTCTCATCGCCTGTCTGGTACCGTGGGAACCACGCGGTCGAGGACACTGCTGCGTGGATGGTCGCAGCCTGGTCACCCGGGCCCCTGGTCTACTACAGGCTGACCTCCAGGAGACAGCCACCCTCGACGCGTCCATCGGGCGCGCGGAGAACGTGAGCCAGCGACTACGGTGGTGGAGCGACACGGGCGCGATGCCCACCCTCGTCGAACCCCTCGCGCGCTGGCTGCGCCGACGGACAACAGCGTGCCCATTGTCCCTCGCAGCGGCTGGTCTAACTCCGAGGCGCCGATCGATGTGCTGGGCTCTATTCCACGATCTTAACAAGTTCGGATTCGACTCGCGATGGTGTCTGCGCGCCCACTTTGGATGTGGGCGAGCCGCCACCCTGTCGCCGCCAACTGCGGCCTTGTCTCGTCGCTTCCTGAAGGCGATCCTCTGTGCATCTACGTCCTGGTGGTGCTGCAACAGGCGGTGGGCTCAACATCTTATCCTCTGACCCGTCTTCTCGTCGGCCATCATGGGCATCCACAAGGCCAAGGACAAGAAGACCGAGTGGTCTGGGCTGCTTTATGGGGCGATGGGACTATGTGCGAAGCCATTCGGTTCCAAATATACGACGTTCTCGCCCGCTCAGGTTGTCTCGCTTCATGTGGTTCCCTCAGGCGGCCACGGAATACGCGGAGTTACGGATCTCCTGGCATATGACTCCTTGCAATTCTGGTCAGATGCGGACGCGCCCTTTTCACGCCCTTCGTTCGGGTCATAGGCCGCGCGCGCTGTCTACAACAAGGAACGCACCAAGCTGAGTCGTAGATGGGATTCCAGAAATCGACGCTCGCATCATATCACGCAAGACTTTCAGATCGTGGGTTGGCTCGCTCTCCGAAGCAGGCCGTAGCTGGTTGGTCATTATTCGCAGCGGGGCCGTTATTTCAGAAATAAAAAAGGAGGACAGTCTTGCCGTGCAGCCATTGCGGCAAGAACCTCCCGTCAGTTTGTCATACTATTCCGAATGTCCGCGTCACCGAGGCCTTCGAGAACGCGCTGCGGTTAAATTTTCCCTCCCCGATGGGTTCTGGACCTCCATCCTTCGCGTGGCCTCAAAGTCTTGTTGGGTCACATACGACACATTGGATGGCCGCCAGGGTGCAGATTGCAGTGTGTTCAGTTGATGTGGGCACCTTGCAGCTGGGACCCACAGATACGCTGGCAGACCCAACGCCGCTTCCGTCAGATAGGCAGGCACGCTTTGGTTTGACAACACGAATCGTCACGTGAGCGTTTCTGTTGTCACGTCAGCGTTTCTGTCATTAGCCACCAGACCGCCTTTTCAACCTGTTATTTAATCGCGGCAACGGGCCACCTCCATATTGTGATTCGCACGGCGCCTCTTGGGCCTCCCGAGAGGCCCTCGTCCCCTCCGCTGGGTTCGCCCCGAAATCTTGGTCAAAACGGACCCCGAGAAAGGATCCAGGGAGTAGCGGTATCGGTAAGTGCCTGTTTCCCCAGCCTATGCGTACGGAAACCGCTTCTGGGATTTACGGGCCACCCCTTCTTGTTGCTAGCCTTGGGCCACGCCCCCAGGGACAACACGCATCGAGTACTCCTGACGGGGGGGGTCGGCGGCTCCGCTACTGCATAATCCCCCCCCCGGTCCGAATTGGGGGACGACGGGGGGTTGAAGAGGAGGATGAAAGGGGGTAGGGAGCGAGGAAAGACAGAACGGGACGGCAGGGAGGAGGAAGCGGAGCTGTCTTCGTCTTGGGGGGGAGGGGGAGCAAGGGGGGCCCTGCGCGCAGGAGCCGAGCTACGGGCTCCTGCGGCTCTGCTACACGGTGGTCGCGGTGTGCCTGCTGCTGTACCGCGTGCGCTACTACGCCCGCAAGGAACGGGGCCGACGGATCCCTCGGGTCAGCGGACGTCCCACGCAAGCGCTCCCGGGGAGGAGGGCGAGGCGACAAGAAGGCAAAGGACGGGGAGGAGGACTTCAGAAGAGAGGCGACAGGCGAGGAGCCGGAAGAGGACTAGCGGATAACAGAACAGGACGATGATCAGGACGAGTAGGGTTGTTGACAGGAGGGTTCGCAGAGTGCTGAAACATGCTGGATGGCGCTGGGAGAAGAAGCTATGCAAGGCAGATATCTGATCGATCAGCGAAATGAAGTGAGTAAGGGAGATGCAATAAAAAGACGCTTTGCATGTGTGATGCTTGTGTGGGGGAGAAACGGGGGACATGAGGAAGGGTACAGCGCCATGATCCATATTGTAGATCTCAACATATAACTTATGCCCACGTGCACATATATGTGTATATATGTCTGTCTGTCTGTCTGTCTGTCTGTCTGTCTGTCTGTCTGTCTGTCTGTCTGTCTGTCTGTCTGTATGCATGCATGCATGCATGCATGCATGCATGCATGCATGCATGCATGTATGTATGTATGTATGTATGTATGTATGTATATACACATACAAGACTGCATTTGCGCTTCGCACCATGCGCCTTGTTCCAGACGCTTCTCCGGTGAAACAAATCAGCATCGCTTAGCACCGCTTTTCATGGGAGGAGGTCAGTAGAAAACTTCCGTCTTGCTTTTCATCTGCCACCTTCAAGGTTTATTCCTACCATCCCTTCCTCCTCCTTTCCTCCTCTTCCGCCTCCTCTGGTGGTTGAGTCCATACTTTGAGGATGTAAGGAGCGTTCCCATGACACTCCGAAGAAGTTGCAGTAGCTCCGAACAGTCGATTTTTAGTCGGTTCTTGAATGCCTGGAGGTCTCCAGGCACTCAGGCAATCTTCGATCGTCGAGCTTGGAATCCAGATCCATTGCCTGCTCTCTCGATCGAGGAATCTTAACCTCGAGCCTCAAGCGTGTAACCAAGATCGTCGGGTCAGCTCGATGTACTTCGTAGGAGAACGCCGTCCAGGCGTTTTGATGGCTGTTCTGGGCCGTCCTGGGGCCCTCTTGGGCCGTCCTGGGGCCTTCTTGGGCCGTCTTGGGGAGCTGGGGCCCTCCAGAGGTCTTTGAAGCCATCTAGGGCCTTGGGGGCCTCCAGTGGCCTTCTTGGGGGTCTCCCATGGCTTTCGTGGGTCTCTCTCGGGAGCCTTCTGGGGGCATCTTGGGATTCTTGTGGGCAGTTTCGGGCTCTCTGGGGCAGTCTTGGGGCCCTCCTGGGCCGTCTTCAAAACCTCTGTAGGGCCTCTTGGGCCGTCTTGGGGCGATGTCGAGGGTCCATTGGGCCGTCTTGAATGCTGCGAAGACCAACAAAAGAAACGGTATGCCAAGCATATACATTTTCCTCAGGGGGAGGGGCGATTTTTGTTTCTTCGGGGCTGTCTTAACGGCTTATTGAGGCGTCTTGAGGGCCTCTTGGGCCGTCTTCAGACCATCGATGTTTTTCTTGGAGCGCTCTTGTGCTGTGTTGAGTCTCTCTCTTGGCCTGGCAAGACGCCCTAGGAGGCCCGGAAGGACCAGCGGACCTTTTCCAACGGCGTCCAGGGGGCTTTCGAGGCGTCTGAAGGGGCGCCCGGGGCGTTCCTGGGGGGGTGTCCAGCTTAGGGGGGGGATTCCGGGTAATACGAATGTAAGAGTAGGAATCGGATTACATGTAGAGAGAGAGGGATAGATCTATACATATATATATATATATATGTATAGAGAGAGTGAAATAGAAAGGGAACGAGAAAGAGGTGAGAGAGGATTTGCTTAGGAGTGGATCCTGTATTTCATCGACTTGTGTTTTGTGAACTCAATCCTGCTCGCCGGGAGCTCATGACGGCGCGGCGGGTGCACATCGGAACGGTCCACAGATCTGCGTGGTCTTTGCATCTTCGTACCCTTCGGAGGCCACACCCGAGCAAACGCGGAAACTGTTTCCTGGAGATCTGCCTCGGTCCTCGGCCTCGCCTCTCTCCGATGACCTCCCACAGCGCTGTGGAGCGGGACGCCCATGCTCGATGCTCGTTTCGGGGACCTTCCTGGAGCCCACCTAACGGATCTGTTCGACCCCAGTTCGACTCAAGTTCGACTCAAGTTCGACTCAAGTTCGACTCAGGTTCGACTCAAGTTCGAGCATCCAACCCATACTAGCTACTCACCAGTTTGCTGTCCGCTTCTTGTGAGAATAGCGGCGTTCCCTGCTGCCACGGATCTCAGCAGGCTTCGGGCGGCGCCGCACCAGTGGAAGGGGAAGGGACTGGTTTGTTGGCGCCAGTGCGCCGCAGGGCCTCTTTGGAGCCGACGAGGGCCGTCTTGTACATTCGCACGTCCGAAAATTGAGAAAGGCATAGCTCTGAGGTTGCATGCGGTAATCCTATTGTTGGGTTATCATGCCATTTTTTTAGGGCCTCAAAGGGCTTCAAGACGGGCGCCTGGGGACACCATACATCGATCGAGAGCGTTGGAGTCCGAACAACGTTTCCTAGGCTTCTGGCAGGTTATGCCAGAAGCCGAAGAAGAGGCGCCCAGTATCATGCGAAACAGCCCTGAATCTCATTCACGACGTGTATCCCATGCTGAGGAGTTTTGCAGGCCCGAGGAGATTTCATTCAGTGCCCGCGGCGCGATAGCGGATACGAGCTGCGAGCAAATAAGGTATGGAGCCTGTGGAGTTGCACTGAGAACAGGTGCTCTTTCTTCGCAGCTTGCTTTTTCTCCGTGGCCGAACCATCATGTTCTGACATTGCCATTTCCCCCAGAAGAAGGAAGAATCGATCCCCCGAGCAATCTTCCATGAATCAGTCATGTCCTCGAACCTCGGTGCTCCGCCTCCTTCTTGAGGTATGAGAGGAGGGGGGAGGGAGGATGACGAGGATGAGGGGGAGGGATCGTCGCTTTGTTTCCGTGGATCGGTTCCCCTTGCTGGCCACGTGTCCCTCTGGTGCCCCTCTGGTGCCTCTGGTGCCTCTGCGGACGGATCCCTCAAGGTGAAGACCAGCCCGAAGAATTATCCAAATGGAAGGGGAGGGGCCTCCACACACACACACACACGCACACTTTTTCTATACACATACCTATACCTATACCACGTCCACATACACAAATACACATACACATACACATACACATACACATACACACACCGTTCCACTCGCGCACACACACACACAACACACAACACACAACACACAACACACAGCACGCACATCACACAACACACTGAACACAAACACAACCACATACGCCACGGATGTGGGATCTACTCCCTGCCGGAGCAGTGTCAAAGCCCTTACCGCCCCGATCCCAGGCCGCAGGGGGCATCACGGGGCCAGGTCCTTGGCCTGCCGCCTCGTGTGACGCCCGCACAGGGCGCAGCAGCACAGCCTGCCTCCGACCACCCACACACTCTGGGTCTCGCGCGTCTTAGTTGTGGCCCGAGGGATGCCTGGGCACAAATTCTGGCCAGCGTCTCTCCTCCTCCTCCTCGTCTCCTCCTCCTTCTCCATTCCTTCTCCGTATACATAACTTCTCCCTGCTGCACCCCGAGGCCAGTTTTTAGGGCGGGCCGGGCATTTCGCCTGAGACTTCCTCACCATGTTTGACTCTGAAGCTTACAAGTTGGCAGCAGCTTCGCAGACGGAGGGCGGATCGTTTTCAAAATGTGGCTCTCGCCTTATCGCCGCGCACATTCGTTTAAGAACATTGCGAGGGTTTCGCGGATTGAGGGCGAGTGGTAACAAAATGTGGCTCTCGCCTTCGCGCCGCGCACACTCGTGTTAAGCGCCGCGCACATTCGTTTAAAAATTTTGCAAGAGTTTGACGGATTCCTATGATCAACGTACCAGAAATGATGTTTTCGAAGGATTCAGGATGATGCGGGCGCAGCACGTACGTTGAATCGCGGTGTTGAAGTCCCAGGAATGGCGTTCTGGCACGGTTTAGGGTCGTCAAGACGAAACAGTCAGGTTGATCCGTGGCGTTGGAATCCAGGGTCTTCGAAACATTGTCCTCCAACGAGGCAGTTTCTTCAATGGAAATGAACCGTCATATGGGCATGTGAAGAGGGAGCTTGGAGGGAGGGTTGCTCCAGCATCGTTGACGACTCTTGGGTTTACACTGGTCCTCCTCCTCCTCCTCCTCCTCCTCCTCCTCCTCCTCGTCTTTCTCCTCGGTTCAGTGCCGCCAGGTGCTCACCAGAGTGGCGGTGGGCGGTGTTCATCGTCGCCACGGGCCCCGTGGCTGGCGCCGTGTTCCCGCTGCAGACGCCGCTCACGCTGCACCACCCTGAGGGGCTCCCCGACGCTGCCCCAAGAGGGAGAGGGGGCCAGTAGTCAGAGCTGGAGATCACCCCAGCAAGGCAGACGAGTGGCAGTAAAGATGAAGAGGCGTGTCGAAGAGTAGGAGGTCGAGACACAGCCATGCGCACCTCAGTGTATTATTTCATCGCTTCGCTCATTCCGCCGGCCCTGCAGCGCTATTTGGGGCCTCTGGGGGCCGTCTTGGGGGCTTCTTGGGGGCTTCTTGGGAGCGTCTTGGGGCTCCTTGGCGGCGTATTGGGCTCCCCTGGGGCCTCTTCGGGGGCTCTTGGGGGCCCCTTGGGGCGGGAGGGGGGGTAGTCGATTGCAGCCCCCCCCCTCGGAGGCCACGATCCTCGTGAGGGGTGGCGAAAAATAGCTTCCCCCCTGGGGATCGCCTGGGACCCAGCCGGGGATCGGCCGGGGTACTTTTCGCCCGGGGCCCCCCAGGGGCCGCCCCGCGCGCGCGAACTACACCTTAGGCGATGCTTAAGAAAACCCAAGTTTTCGGCCAGAGTCTCGATTATTCTTAATGTTTCAATGTAAATCCTAAGATTTTGATCGAAATGTTGGGCCTGTATTCAAGTTCTGAGACTATGAATTTCTTAACCCATGATTTCTTAAGCATTTCGCAGGGTGTAGACATATTGTTGAGTGGTTACCGGGGATCTTGGCACGCCTCTGGCCCGTTGGGCCGGCGACTCGTGCCAGGGGATCGTGGCCGTCCAGCCCAAGCACGCAGCCGGCACCGAGGCGAGAGCCACGCTTGTGCATCCTACGTGAGGAGGCCTCCGGCGAGACGGCTGCCGGACTGGGCGGTCGAGGGCTCCCTCGGGGCTCGAGAGACGGGATTTTGGGCGAAAAATACAAAGCACAAATGCTTAAAAGATGCCCACAAATATTCAAAACGTAGTCCCCAGACTATTTTTTGACTAATTTTGAATATTCCCCCTGTAGAGGGACAGGCCCGACTTAAATCCAGCGTCGGGTCTCAAGAGACGGGGGGCAATGCAAACGGGGCTCAGCCAGGGCACAGGATCCCAAAGGATCCTGCGAAGACCCCCTCTGGCTGACCCGGGTTAGCGAGCCGTTCGTGGCCGCGAGGCGGCCGCGCCTACTGGCCGACCCGGGTTTGCGAGGACCTGCGTTGCAGTTTGTGTTCCTGCACTGCAGTGTTTGGTTTCCTGGTTTGGATTGACCCGGGTCAGAAGATCCCCGACTTCCTGTCCCCCCTGTGGGACTCTTCTGTGCTTCTGTCTCCCTTACCCACTTTTAAGAGCCCTCTGGTGACATGCTATTGCGGAGACAGCTCTGTCTGGCTCGGCAGGCACGTTGGCAAGCCAGCTGCTTGTCGACGTAGACTCGGTCAGGTCTCCTTTTCAGGCGAGGGATCTCCGCAGAGGCCCAGGGACATGTTCAGAGCCGGACCGTGGGTCGCCGTGTGCCCCCTGGGGCGGGGCTACCGATGACAGCAGGTGCTGGGCAGCCAAGCGCGTGGCGCGCTGGGCGCCTCCACCTCGTCGGGGTGTTCCTCGGAGGGCAGAGAATGCGTGGAGCTCCCCCAGCAGAAGTCCTGCTCCTCCAGAGGAGGGCGCGGGGAAGGTGAGAGGAGGAGGAGGAGGAGGAGGAGGAGGAGGAGGAGCAGGAGGAGCAGGAGGAGGAGGAGGAGGAGCAGGAGGAGCAGGAGGAGCAGGAGGAGCAGGAGCAGGAGGAGGAGGACAGTTGTAAACCCAAGAGTCATCAACGATGTTGGAATTAGCCCTCCCTCCAGACTCCCTCCTTCATAGGCCCCTACAATACCAGAACGTTATTTTGGGGACTCCAACACCGCGAATCAACATACCTGTTGCACCCGCGTAATCCTGAACCCTTCCAAAATACAGTATCTGGTACGCTGATCATGGGAACCCGTGGAACTCTTGCACATGTTTTAAAACGAACGTGCGCGGCGATGAGGCGAGAGCCACATGTTGAAAACAACCCGCCCTCAATCCGTGAAACTCTTGCACATGTTTTGAACGAACGTGCGCGGCGCTGAGGCGAGAGAGAGCCACATGTTGAAATCAACCCGCCCTCGATCCGTGAAACTCTTGCACATGTTTAAAACAAATGTGCGCGGCGCTAGCACGAGAGCCACATTTTCAAAAAACGCCCACAATCCGTGCAACTCTTAAACATGCTTACAACGAATGTGTGCGGCGCTAAGGCCAGAGCCACATTTTGAAAACCACCCGCCCTCCATCTGTAAATTGGTTGCCTTTTTTTCAAAGCTCCAGAGTCATACATGGTGAGGACGTCTCAGGCGAAACGCCCGGCCCGCCCTAAAACCTGGCCTCGGGGTGCGACAGGGAGAAATTGTTGATCAGAGCGAGGGGGCCGAACGGTCATTCATTGTCCCTGGGTGCGAGGCTGGATCGGGAATTCGTGGTGAGGATTCTGTTTGTTGCGTTGTTGTTGTTGTTGGTGTTGTTGTGGTTGTTGTTGTGGTTGTTGTTGTTGATGTTGTTGATGTTGTTGTTGCTGCTGCTGTTTGTTGTTGTTGATGTTGTTGGTGTTGTTGTTGTTGTTGTTGTTGTTGTTGTTGTTGTCGTTGTTGTTGTTGTCGTTGTTGTTGTTGTGGTGTTGCGGCGTTGTTGTGGTGTTGTGTGTGGGGGGGGTAGTTGTTGTGGTTGTTGCCGGGGGGGGGTCCCGACGGGTCGGCGCTGGCCGCCCTTGCTTTGTTGTTGTCGTTATCGTTGTTGTTTGTTGTCGTCGTTCCCCCCGCGACCCGGCCCGCGACCCACCCGCGACCCACCCGCAACCCACCCCGCTCGCGACCCCGCTCGCGACCCACCCGCGACCCACCCGCGACCCACCCGCGACCTGGCCCGCGACCCACCCGCGACCCACCCGCGACCCACCTGTGACCGAACCCGCGACCCACCTACATTGTTTAAACAAAAGTCGGCGCCTGCGGCGGGCTCGTTGTTTAGCTTGAACATGTTGCGCCTGTGGCGGGCTTCGTCAGAGTTTAGTAGACTGCAGACGTCCCCGCCGCCCCCTCACTCTTTTTCGCAACTGCGGGGTGCTACGTAAGGAAAAGGAATGGATCAGGAGAAGGAGGAGGAGGAGGAGGAGCAGGAGGAGGAGGAGGAGGATGTGGAGGAGGAGGAGACGGAGGAGGAGGTTGGAGGAGGCGAAGAAGAAGGAGGAGGAGAAGGAGACGGAGAGGCAGGAGGAGGAGGAGGAGAAGGAGGAGGATGAGGAGGGAGGAGGAGGAGGAGGAGGAGGAGGCGGAGGAGGAGGAGGAGGCGCAGGAGGAGGAGGAGGAGGAACAGGAGGAGGGGGAGGAGGAGGGGGAGGAGGGTGGAGAAGGAGGAGAGAGGGGGAAGCAGGAGGAGGAAGATGGAGGAGGAGGAGGGAGGGAGGAAGAGGAAGTAGGAGGAGGGGGGTAGGGGGGAGGAGGACATGGGGAGGAGGAGAGGGGGATGATGATGATGATGATGATGATGATGATGATGATGATGCTGATGATAATGATGATGATGTTGTTGTTGATGATGATGATGATGATGCTCGTGATGATGACGTGATGATGATGATGCTGATGCAGATGCTGATGGTGAGGGTGATGCTGATGATGATGCTGATGATGATGGTGATGATGATGATGCTGCTGATGATGATGCTGATGAGGATGATGATGATGCTGATGATGATGCTGATGATGATAATGCTGATGATGATGATGATGCTGATGATAATGCTGATGATGATGATGATGATGATGATGATGATGATGAGGAGGCGGAGGATGATACATACGAATCATACGGATAATCATGGTCATGCTTTAATTAATAACACTGATCATAGTATTTGCAAGAGTAATGATTAATGATAAACATTATTAGACGAATATTACGTACACCAACAACACATAAGAACACATGCATGCACCTACCAAACGTACTAGTACGAGTAATAATAATAATACTACTAATAATAATCATAATAATAATCATACGAATAATAACAACAATGATAATAACACGAATGCTACTAAGAATAATGACCTGATATTGAGAAGAAGAGGAGGAGGAAGAAGAGGAGGAGGAGGACAAGGAGGAGGTAAGAGGAGGGGGAGGAGGGAAGGGGGACAGGGGGAGGGGCAGAGCGCGGACGGGGCCTCCCGCGCCAGGTTCGAGAGCTTCTTCCTGCACGCCTCGCCCATGTGGATGTGCTACGCCGCGGGCCCGGCCCCCGCCCCCCGGCAGGCGCACGCCTGCCGTCGGCGCGGCGGCGTGGCTGGCGCGGGCGTTCCTGGCTGGGGGGGGCGCGCTCCTCCTCCTCCCCCTCCTCCTCTTCCTTCTCCTCCTCCCCCTCCTTTTCCTCCTCCTCCTCCTCCTCCTCCTCCTCCTCTTCCTTCTCTTCCTCCTCCTCCCCCTCCTCCTCCTCCTTCTCCTCCTCTTCCTGGCCCTCGGATCGTTTGCCCGGCAGCGCGCTTGGCGATGAGCGCACGGCGTCTCGTGCCAACTTTGCATATCTGAATTGTTTTTTGGCCCGATCCCACATCGAGTGGCCTTCGTAGAAGGCCTGCGCGCGACTAGCGCGCCAGCCCCCCTTGCCGTGACGCCAGCTTCCCGGCGGCGGCTGCTTCGTTCGTTCGTTCGTTCGCAATCGCCTGAAGGTTCGCTCGCACAGCCTTCTTGAAAAGTAGTCCCGCGGTCCCTCTTTGCTTGCGTCTCCGCTTGAAAGGTAGCCGCCGTCTTCGCAGCCTTCTTGAAAGGTAAGCGCAGTCTTCGCTTGGGTGAGCGCATCAGCCCAACTCGTACCTTGAGCCCGTACTGGCCCTCGGATCGAACAACACAGACAGACCTGCATAAGCACAAACTGTTCGAGCTCTGCGTGGATTTCCTGGACCGGCGCTGGCCCCCCTGGCGGCGCCTCCAGCGCCGCCCCTGGCGCGCTCCGCGCGCTAGGCAAGGGGGTCCAGCACTGGTCCAGGAAATCCGCGCGGAGCTCTAACAGTTTTTGTTTATGCAGTTGTTTGTTCCTCCACTGAAGCTGGCTGGGGGTCTGAGGTGGCCCAGCATTGGTTCTGGCCAGCAAGAGGGGGGCGAAGTTCTAGGTTCTGGCTTCGAGAAGGTTTGTTGCCCTTCTCTGTCTCTGGCGACCGTCTTGAAAACTGATTTGTGTGGAAAACTTGCCTGGATGGACCCCAGGAGGGGTCCAGGGACAGATTGTGAGCGGATTCGTGGAGCCTGAGGACCAGCAGGTGCCACTGCAGGAAGACGGTGGCACAGTAGGTCGAACCAGCCAGGTCTGGAAGAAAAAGCAGCCGACAACAGATAGACACGACTGCTGGGGGTCCACGCGGATTTCTTGGATCGGCGCTGAACACCCCTCCCTGGCGCGCCGAGCGCGCAGGTCGCGGCGCCAAAGGCGCCCACGGCGCCGCCCCCTAAACGCACGGAAAGGAATTCACGGCGCGAAATGTCCACACCTTTCCTTTTCCGACTCGCTGATGACGACAGCCGGCGGATGACGTCTGCAGAGGCAGGATTCACGCCCAAGCTGATTCACCGCTCTGTGTGGTGGCACAAGCAGAGCTGGCAGCCTAAGTTCAGCCCGAGAGGGACCTCCAAGCAGCAAGGACGGACCGCGAAGTCCACACGTAAGATGGGGGGTCCAGGGCCCACAGACATACATCACCACCGAGGGTTGTTTTTTTTGCCAGGGACGTAGATGTTGTTACTGTTTCGGCGGTGGGTCGCAATGTGCGTCAAATCACGCGATGAGTGAACGTCGTCTTCGCAGCGTCATTTGGGCGTGTGGATCTATGTCAAAAGCAACAACGCACATGAACACCACCAACAACACCAACAACACCACCACCAACAACAACAGCACCAACAGCAACGACGCGCAGATCTATGAGCATGTCGGGTTGGTGTACCGCATTACTCGGGGGTCGCTGTTTTTCTTCACCACCCCCAGGTGGCAATAGAGTGCTTGGCAGCATTCATAAATAGAGTGCTTGGCTGCATTAAGTCTGGACCAAATGCGGCCGCCACATGCGCGCATGACGTGACATGTACATGTGTTTGGCGCTGCACAAACCCCAGGGACGCCAGTCACCCGAATGGGAAGATGTCCACAAGCAGCTATTCCAGATTGTGTTGCCACGCGAATTGAGCAGTTTTACCTCATACCTCATTTGTTTTAGCATCGCTGAGCTTTCTATTGACTTCAGCCTACATGCGCCTAATTAGTGATCTTGCAGAACAGCTCAGCTTTCCGTAGCGTGGCGCAGTCGAGCGTTGAGCTACGCGTTGCCCAGCTCAGACCTGCGTAATTAGGCCAGTCGAAGCTTAGCTTAGCCTCGCCTGTGTTGACTTGGCGTGACGTGGCCGAGCTAAGGCTGCCGTCGTCTTGTCTGGCGGGGCTGAGCTGAATCTTGGCTTGCCTTGCCCAGCTCAGCCCAGCTCGGCAGTAGCTAGTCCGAGTACGGCGTTGCTCTCTGCGTAGCTCTGGCAAGCGTAGCATGACCCAATTTGCCGACCTGTATGCCGCTTTGCTGATCGCAGCTTGGCATTACCTTGCTTGTTACCCTCCCATTGTCGATTTGGGGCTTATCCAGGGGTTCACCTAGTAGCTCAGACAGAGCCCCTCTGGGAGCCTTGCGGGACCCCTCGGTGCCATGTTGGCCGTCCCCTTGGGCCCTATTGGGGATATTTGGGAATTTTGTGAACTGTTGAGGTCTGAGGCCCTACCAGGGCCATCTCGCGGTTATTTTGAGGTCTCGCAGTCGCTTCGGACGCCGAAGAGGCGAGAGGGCGAAATCCATTCGACAATTTCCAAAAGTATTTCAATGGTTTTCGCAGCTTGGGCTGCATCGGTGGATCGCGTAGGGTCAACGCAGTGCAATATTGTAATGGCCTCCGGCCAGTGCCGCCGATCCGGGGGGCTCCGCATTTGGTGATCTTCGCGGCTCTGTGGCCTCCTCCCTCCTCGATTCTTCTGGTCCTCTTTCTTCTCCCTAGATCTCGAACTCTTTTGCCTCCCGCTGACCCCCCTCTCCGTCCTCGCTCGTCCTCGTTCCCGCTGGGGGGGGGCCTGGAGAGGTCCCGGGGGGAGTCCGGGGAGGGTTCCGAGGGGAGGGTCTTGTGGGCGGTAGCGGCCAGATTTGAGGGGGGTCTCTGAGACCCCCCGAAGCATCCTGCGGATGCGCAAACAATTAGGAAAACGCCAGATGAGGGACTGCCCCCCTCCCACCCCTACCCCCTTTTCCGGACCCCACCCCAAACATCTTGGGGATGCGCAAATCATTAAGCATACGCCAGATGGGGGACCGCCCCCCCCCCTCCCCCCCTTCCTCGGCGGAGCCACCCCGGCGACCCCCCCAAGCGCTGAAGCTCTGAGGCTCAGAGCAGAAGCTCTTGCTGAAGCCCCTTGTAGCTCACACGCCGGATCGGCGGATTTAGAGCCTTTTTGGGGCTTCTTGGATGCTCAAGGCAACCTGGGCCAAACCTGTGCTAACTTGCGCCATTCTGGGAACAACGTTGAGCGATCTGGGGTCATGCTGGTCAAGACCCGACAAGAGGTGGTGGGCGGTGGGAGGAAGGGCACGGCTTCTGGATGGGGTAGGAAAGAATCGTTTTCGGCGTCCTGGCATTCCGAATCGTGTATATACGCACACCCTGCGCGCGCGGTGGGGACCATACAATGGTTCTCTCCAAATCACGGGAGCCTGGTATACCGTCTTTATTCCGTCTTTAGCGTCGACTGGCGTCGATCAGCGTTTGGGAGTCGATGCGATAGCGCCGATCTAGCGTCGGTTAGCGTCGACTAGGGTCGATTAGCGTCGATTCGCCAGCGCCGACAAGATGTTACGGGAGGCTCCCATGAGTTGCCACCCAATAGGGGGACCAACGGGGGGGACCATAAGGGAAAACCATGCGAGGAGACCATACGTGGAAGCCATACGTGGGGACCTTGCTGCGGGTTTCATCGCAGTTTCGCTCGAGCCTCGCAGTCTTCAACGACCCCACCCCCTCCCCGCCCCCATCACGCTTGTCCGCAGCTGGCGGGATTATGTATGTTCCCTGACCCCTGTTTTTCTTTCTTCCTCCCGTGCCGCTCGACCCTCTCGCCTATTATGTTTTTGTTATTCCCCCCCGTTGTCCTCCCCCATCCCCTCTTCCATCTCTACGCTATCCTCCCCTCCTCCTCCCCTCTCGATTATGCATCCACGCGCCCTCCGCCCTTCGCACTCTGCACTCCCTCCTCCGCGCCGATCCCCCTCCTCCCGCGCTCCAGGAGGAGGAGGAGGAGGAGGAGGAGGAGGAGGAGGAGGAGAAGGAGGGAGTGCGGGGAGGACCGAGGGGGAGGATCGAGTATCGAGGAAGGGAAGGAGGGGAGGATCGAGATTAGAGGATCGAGGATGGCCGACGTCTCTGGGCTCTCTTGTCCTTTCTATGCCTCTGGAGACCTCCGGGAGGCTTCGGGAGGCTCCCGAGACTTCTGCCCCGCGCTCCTGCTCCCCTCGCGAGGGGAAGGACGTACACGTACATGCATCCATGCTGGTTTCGAGAGTATGCATTACGCGAACGTTCGTATCATGCGGCCAGTCTCGCGGATTGGGGGGGTGTGTTCATGTACGTGGTTGGGTGCGTACGTCCTTCGTGGGCTCCCTATCCCCCGCCTCCTCGCCCCCGCCTCCCCGCCCTCGCCCTCGCCCTCCCACTCTTGCTACCCCCCGTCGCCCAGACACGGCGCTCCGCGCGCCACCTCGGGCAGCTTCTGCGAGGTGAGATGTGCAGCCTGGTCGGCAATCGCCTCCGAATCTTCTCCCGCTCCCCTTCGCTTCTGCCCTCCCCCCCTCCCCCTCCCCCCCCTCCCGCCCCTCTCCTCCCACCCACCCTCCCCTCCTCCCCTCTCTTCCTCGCTCCCTCCTCCTCCCCTGCCCCCTCTCCTGCTCCCCGCCTTTCCGTCCTTCCTCCTCTCCCCTCTCCCTCCCCCCCCTTCCGCCCCCCACCCCTCCCTCGGGGGCCGCGTGCCCGCCGGGAGCGCCCAGGCCGTCCGGTGGCGCTGGTGGGGCGGCGAGGCCCCGCCTGGAGTGGGGCCCCTGCTGTGGGCCAGCGCGGCCAGGATATGTGAAGGGCCTGGCGGCCGAGCCGGGCCCAGCCTCCTCCTGCTTCTGCTCCTCCTCCTCCTCCTCCTCCTCCTCCTCCTTATGCTCCTCCTTCTCCTCCTCCTACGCCTCCATTATGTCTCCTTGTAGACACCTGTCGCACCCCTGTCGCACCCTGTCGCACCCCGAGGCCAGTTTTTAGGGCGGGCCGGGCGTTTCGCTTGACACATTCTCACTTTTTATGATTCTGAAGCTTACAAAATGACAACAGTGTTTCACAGATGTAGGGCGGGTCGTTTTCAAAATGTAGCTCCTTAGCTCCGGGCTCATTCGTTTTCAAAATTCGCAAGAGTTTCACGGATTGGGGGCGGGTGGTTTTCAACATGTGGCTCTCGCCTTAGAGCCGCGCACATTAGTTTCCAACATTTGCAAGAGTTTCACTGATTGAGGGCGGGTTGTTTTCAAAATGTTGTTCTCGCCCCAGCGCCGTGTACATATGTTCTAAGAACTTGCAAGAGCTTCACGGATTGAGGTCGGGTGGTTTTCAAACTGTGGCTCTCGCCTGAGCGCCGCGCACATGCGTTTATACAATTTGTCGGAGTTTCACGGATCCCCATGATCAGCGTACCAGAACCGGTGTTTTGGTAGGATTCAGGGTTATGCGGGTGCAACAGTTATGCTAATTCGCAGTGTTTGGGCATGCTTCAGGGTCTTCAAGGGTGTTTTCCGACGGGGCAGTTCCTTCAATGGAAATGAACTGTTGTAGGGGCTCATGAAGAGGGAGCTTGGAGGGAGAGGTAATTCCAACCATGTTGATGTTTTTTTGGTTTACACTGGTCCTCCTCCTCCCCCTCCTCCTCCTCCTCCTCCTACATATCCCCCCCTCCTCCTCCTCCCTCCTCCTCCTCCTCCTCCTCCTCCTTCCCTCCTCCCCCTCCTGTCCTCCTCCTCCTCCTCCTCCTCCTCCTCCCCTCCTCCGCCTCCTCCTCCTCCTCCCCCTACCTACTCCTCCTCCTTTCCTCCTCCTACACCTCCTCTGCCATCACTTCCTCCTCCTCCTCCTCCTCCTCCTCCTCCTCCTCCTCCTCCTCCTCCTCCTCCTCCTACTGCGCCTCCGCCTACTCCTCCTACTCCGCCCGGAGTGGGGCCCCTGCTGTGGGCCGGCGCGGCCAGGATATTCTAAGCCGCTCAAGGCGCAAAGTTCTTATGCCCCAGCGCCTTTCTTTGCTTTGGGGAATAAAAACTGATATGGCTGCTGATGGTCCCTCTCCCCCATCCCCGTGCCGCCACAGCGGAACTTGACGCAGCAGCGCTTTCGGTTCAGCCCCGGCTGTGGCGACGCCAGGGGCAGGACGACGACGACGACGACGACGACGACGACGAGTTCGACGACGACGACGACGACGAGGAAGTCGAGGGCGAGGACGAAGACGACGGCGACAACGTCGTTCTGTTGTCAACGATTCGGCCCTTCCGGAAGGGTCGCCAGGCTTTGGCATCGTCAGAGACGGTCCTCCTCTTCCTCCTCTTCCCCCTCCCTCCCCTTCTACGCAAAGTCAGCCGGCAAGTGCGACTCATCGCGCCAGCGACAATGCGACTTGCAAGCCGAGACCGGATCCAAATGCAATCTCTGGGCCGGACGAACCAGATCAATAAGACGAACCAAACCAACCACAGCCAGTAGAGCAAGCGCGGCAGACCAACCCGGCGAACAAACCAGACCAACCAGACGAACCAGACGAACCAGACCAGACAGACCAACCAGACCAACCAGACCAGCCCGACCAAGCAGACCAGCCAGACCAACCAACCAGACCAGACCAGCCCGACCAGCTGACCAGGCCCGACAGAACAGACCAGACCAGCCAGACGAACCAGTCCAGCCAGACCAGACCAGGCCAGCCAGACCAACCTGACCAGCCAGACCAATCAACCAGATCGGACCAGCCAGACGAATCGGACAAGCCAGACCAACCAATCAGACCAACCAGATCGACCAGCCAGACCGACCAGACAAGGCAGACCAACCACCATCGTCCTCGTCGTGGTCGTCGTGGTCGTGGTCGCAGCCCTGTCGGCGTATCCATGTTTATGACGACAGGTTCATTTCTTTGGGAAGCAAGATTCAGCTGAAGTCGTCGTGGCCGTCGTCTTCCCGGTCGTCGTCGTCGTCGTCGCGGCTAGTCCTGGTCGCGGTCGCAGACCTGTCGGAGTATAACTTTTTATGGAGACTGGCTCAGACGGCCCCAAGACGGCCCAAGAGGCCCCCAAGACGGCCCAAGAGGGCTCCAAGACGGCACCAAGAGGGGCGCAAGACCAGCGAAACCAACCAGACCAGCCAGACCAACCAGACCAGCCAGACCAGCCAGACCAACCAACCAGATCAGACCACCCAGACTAGCCAGACCAGATTCAAAAAAAAATGCAATGCAAAAAAAACTGCAGTGCAAACAAAAACTGCAATGCAGACAAAAACTGCTTTTCGGTGGTGGTTGTCGCTGCCTCCCCGGACCTCCTCCAAA